GGTTAATGGGTTAATGTTGGACTTGTGGGCTTGGGCAGCATTGGGTTGGGATGTTTTCGTGATGCACACATTCTTTACATAAAACTCTCTTATACATGAGTTGCTGTGGATTTGTTTCTCCAAAGTACCTAGACTAACACAAAGTACTATAAAAACTATTTAACACCTAGTGATAACACTTAGTAACACCTATGGGACAGAGTAGAACTGCCTTCCGAGACTGGAAGGGTAGATCTTCACTGGAGCACACAGCCTTGCCTTTCTCCTTCAGAGCAGCTGGTGATCTTGGGGCGAGCAGCACAATGTATAACGTATTGTGCCACCAGAGGCCCAATGAGTTAGAGGCAACTTGGTGGCAGGGAGTTTGGTTTGTTTTCTATAAAAACTGTCCCCTGATTTAAGATGTTACCGTATGTATTTGAGTATAAGTCGGCCCGAATATCAGCCGAGGCACCTAATTTTACCACAAAAACCGCATTTAAAATGTGCTGGAAAACTCAGCTTATTCATGAGTATATGCGGTAATTTAAAATTGTATATATCATTTTCCTATGTTAGGGATCCAGAGAGAGCTTATCCTAGAAACATATGTGCTTATTGCCAACAATCTCTTTATATAGTATTACATATAGTTTTGGTTCATGGACGTGCACATTTTTTATTTTTTATATTGCAAATAAGAAAGCCCACTATATGAAAAAGCTCCAATGTGCCTCTTTCACGTGTTGACGGGCACTTGGCGCCATCTGTTTTGGAAAACAATTTAGCATTATGGATTATTGCTGTTATAGTGCCTCGATCTGCTCCAGCTCACAGCGGCCCTCTCGTCTGCATTCGCCCTCCTCACAGTTGTTCTTACGTTTTAGCCCATTGCTGCAGCCAGTGTCCATCTGTCTTGTCCAGGGCCTTCCTCTCTTTCGCTGCCCCTCCCCTTCAGCAAGCGTGATGTTCTTCTCCAGCGTCTGGTCTCCCTCATAACATGTCCAAAGCCTCCCATCCTTGTCCCAAGGAACATTCTGACTATACTTCTTCCCTGAGACATCTATTTATTTGTTCGCATCACGGACTATGATCCTCCAAATGCTCTTATGTGTGTGTGGAATCAGGAGCTCCATTTCCAGAATCTGTCTTAAGAAACAGCTTCATCTAGGAACAAAGCAGGATGCAAAAGATATTTGTCATCTAATTTTAGATATCATAAAACAGAAAATAACCTAACTTTTCATAATTAGGAGAAAGGACATGTGTTAGGAAATGATTGTGTTGCCAATGGTAGGATGTAATACAGCCAGTGAGAACGATATTTATGGAGAACATTTATTGATACTGGGAAATATTTATACTGTAAGTTATAGAAATTGAAGATCTTATATTTTATGTTAATTATATCAGCCATGCAATACATTACTCAAAGACAAATATCTTCCAGCAATTCATCAAATGTTAAGTTGGGTACTGACGTCTGCTCATTCCAGCTCATGGCAGCACCGTGTGTCCGAGCAGCACTGTGCTCCATTGGTGGTTTTCAGTGGTGGACTCTGTGGGACTCACACAACCACGCCTTTTTCCTTAAGTCACCTCTGGGCGACCTCAAACCACTGCCCTTTCAGTTACCAGCCTGGCGCTTGACTGTTTGTACCTGCCAGGGCCTATAAAATATTGACATGCCTCATAATGTACTTTTCATGTAAACCCTTATGTATTAATACCTTTAGCTTCCTTCCTTCAATAAGATGTTATGGATCTATTGGAAATAAATTTCTGCTTTAAATAAATTTATATTTTGGCATAATCTGCCTTTTAGGATTAAGGAATTTTTTTCAGTCATTTCTTACTTTCTAATATTTTTAACAATTATGGACTACTGTACTGGTATTAGGAGCCCTGGTGACATAGTGGTTTTGCATTGTGCTACAGACCCCAAGGTAGGCGGTTCGAAACCACCAAGAGCCCCACAGGAGAAAGATGGTGCTTTCTACTCCCATAAACAATTGGCAGTTCTACCCCATCCTATAGAGTCACTACAAGTCAATATTGACTCGATGGCAGAGAGAATTCTGTTATTCAGAGCCCTCATGGCATAGTGGGTTATGCATTGGTCTGCTCACCACATGGTCAACAGTTCAAAACCACCAGCGACTCTGAGAGAGAAAAGTGAGGCATTAAGAACCTACAAGGGCAGTTCCACTATGTGCGTTAGAGTCACAAGGAGTCGAAATTGATGGCAGTGAGTGAGTTGTGTTCTTATGAAATATATATAAAAGAGTATATATTTAAAGAGTCTTATTATTTAAATGTTAATGATAGAAATGTCACCATGAACCTGCCACCTAGTTTTGGAAATGAAACATATATTGCAGGCTCTGGACATTTCCTCCTCTCCTACCCTCCATTCACACATCTGTAAGTAACTTCTATCTGAATTTTACATTGATTTAATTATTCTAATTATTTTCTCTATAGTGTTGCCCTTTTTTGTATCCTTAAAGAAGGTGATTAATGTTGCCCAATTTTTCATTTTCTATATTTGCCATAGAATATGTATTCCTTTGGCAACTTTTTTTCCTTCAGCATTACTTGTAGGAGCCGTCTGTGTCAGTACAAAGTTCTTTCCTTTTCACTGCTGTCTAGTAGTCCTCTGATAGGATCTCACCCTTAACCCAGGCTTCTTTGGGTAGCTGTTTATTTAGTTGTGTCCAGCTTTTGTTTTATTTTCCATATAATACCCCCTTTGAATATTAGCACAACCATTTCTGTTTCTTTCTGCATGAGTCTCTGTAGGACTAATGTCCAGAAGCGAAATTTCTGGTTTATAGAGAATATACGTGCTCCACTTTGGAGGGTAATCTGGTTGTTGTTATTTTTAATCAAGCTGATATGTAAAATTGCACTCCCATCATTAGCATGTGAACATTCTTAAAACTCACGTTCCCACCCGCATTTGCAGTGTTATTTTTTTATTTTTTTATTTTACCAGTCTACGACCAGCAGTAGAATTTTATGGCTTTAAAGAATTTTATAACTTAATCTGCCGTGATTGGTTCAGGGTGATTCTCTGGGATTGGGCCTTGTTTCAGCCTCGTAGCATGTGGTAGGAAGGGACCATGGTCATGAATCTGTATTATCCCAACTGTGAAGGACTTAAAACAAGTGTGAGCAGCCCAGTCCCTCCGGACATCTCTGCTGGCATCTGTGTTTTGTAAGGTGACCTGTTGTGGTTTCGACTTGTGCTCTTAAGTCAGAGGATGACTTTAACATTTGAATCATATCACTTTTACCCCAAAAATTCCTATTTAGACTTTAGAAGGAACTAATTTGAAGCCCAGAACTCCTTAATAATAGAATATGTAAGGCAGCTTCTGGGGGTTTAGACAATTTGTTCCTGAAACCAACACATTAAAAAAAAATAGTCATATTGGCATGTACCTCACATATAATACAATGTATTCATTCAGTCGTATTAGGAAAAGTGGTGCAATCATCACCACAATCAATTTCAGAACATTTTCTTCTCATACTTATTGTTGTTAGCTCCCCTTCCCTCTCTCCTCCCTGCCACACCCACGGGTAGTTAGTGTTTCTGTAGATTTACCTATCTGAGATTGCATACACAGAAAATCATGCAAAACAAACAAACCAGCAAATAACAGTGCCAAAATAAGACCTCAGTAGAAAAGAAAGCAGAAAATATTAAACAGTGAAACAACTTTAAAATGGGTCAAAAGGGAGATCAAATAAGCACTAACTTTTAACTTAACGACATGTGCCATACCTGACCTTCCAATGTTTTCTGTCTGAGAGCAAGGCTGTTCACATCGCTGGACAGTGTTCAGAGGGGCTTTACTGTACTCTTAATCCATGCGTGGACCCTGCAAATGGATTGGGGGCTTCCACTATACTGTGCAGCCGTCTGCAAACCAGGTGTTCACGTTTTAAGCTCTGATGCAATTCCCTCCTTTGGATGTGATTATTTATAATCTTTGAATCACCCAGCCTGGTATGATTCTTCCATGTGAACTTAATTGACATCACACTTAGATGGCTGTTAGTTTGAAGACATGCCTTTAAAAGCCAGACACTATTCTTTCTGATAGCTGGACACCATCTGGTTTCTTCAATACGCTTTACTATAGCACCCATATCTTCAGCAGTCTCTTCATGAGGGCAAGTATTAAGTAAGGCTATGTCATAAGAACTAGATTGGATGATCCCTTCAGGACCAGTGGTGTGAGTGGCGATACTGGGAGGGTAGAGGGAGAGTGGGTTGGAAAGAGGGAACCGATTACAAGGAACTATA